CGGGGGGGGGCGCCCCTGCCCGCCCCCCCCCCGGCCCGCCGGCAGAGACAGCGGAAGCGGCTTCATCCTGTTTTCGTGGACGGAGCCGCGTGGAGGAAATTTCAAGGACATTGTGTTTGGCTCTTTCCCGTCTCTCCCCAGTAAAGTTCACTTTAATGAGCCCAGGCTTTATCTTTTTTTTCTTCTGCCGCAGGAAATGAGTTTTTCTTTCCAGAAATTTTTCAATCTCCCCCCCCTTCCCTCCGCACACCCCTTTCTGCAGCTGATTACGGGCAGGAAACGGGCTGTTTATCCCGCCCGGTGGCATCGCAGCCGGGGGGAGCGGGATGCTGCGCTTGGAGGAAGGGAGGGAGCATCCCGGCCGCCTCAGCCGAGCCCTGAGGCTGTGGGGGGCCCACGGCCACCTCCTCGCAGCTGAATCCCCCATCCCGGCAGCCCAAATCCCACCCCACAATCCGCAGGCGGGTCCCGTCAGCTGGCAGCCCTGGCTCCCCCCGTACTGAGGCCAAGAGGCTTCAGGCCGATGCCGTTGGCTGTGGCTGGGAATTCTCGTGTGTCCCCCCCTCCTGCCACCCATTATCCCAGGATGGGGAATTCCTATGACTTTTCCACCCCCGTTTGCTCCCTTGGCTCTCACAGCAGGAGCAGCCTGGAGCCACCGACCCCAGGGAGAGGAAGGGGTGTCAACGTGGGACATGGGGACATTTGGGTTGCAGCCGAGGGGGAAACGCCGGCTGCCACGGGGGGGTTGCCCGGATGCGCTCCGGGCGGGCGCTATTCCCGGCTGCGGGGCCGCTGCCTGCCAGGTTGTGGCGAGGGCAGGCGGGGCAGAGCCGTGACCGCGACCTGCCCCAGCACCGCTGGCTTTGGGGTCACCGTATATCAGGCGAGGAGTAAAGCAAAGGCCAGGACAGAGGCGGCTGCTTGGAAGCCGCTGAGACGGTGTCAAGGAAGGAAATGCCTGGAGGAGGGGGAAGAATCCCAAAGAAAACACTAATGCTGCTGGATGCCGAGGGGAAGGAGCCTGTCTGCAGATAGGGATGGCCACGGGGCCACCCTGGGCATGGGGCAAGTGGGGCACCATGGGCTTGGGGAACTGTGTGTGTGTGTTGGCGGGGGGGGGGGGGGGGCAAACCGCGCGCCGCGGTGCTCCCATCCCGTTTCCATGGCGGATGGTGCCATGCGCGGCAGCAGGAGGAAGGCACCAGCCACCCGTTGGCAGGTCACTGGGAGCCTCCACTCGTCCCCGCGCCACAGCCGGGAGCAGACAGTGCAGGAGGGCAAGGGGACGCTGTCACCATCCCGTCCCCGAGCACCCATGCCGGCCATCCCCAGGAGATGGCAGTGCTCCGTCATGGGAGACACCAGCTGCTGCCAGGGGCCGGGATGTGTCCCAGGGGATGCCGGGGCTGGCCGGGACAGGCCTGGCCATCTTGCTCTCTGCCTCTCTTGCTACCCTGGGCTCCCAGCCTCTGTCCAGCTCCAACCTCCCTCTGGATGCCCCATCCCCACCTGGCTCCCGGGACAAGACTGTCCTTGCAGCTCTGGATGGACCCAAGCCCGGTCACGTCCATCCCACTGCCACCAGGCACATGGGGACCGCAGTGCTCACACCCCTCCATCCCAGGAGGTGCGGGGAAGCTGGGACACGCTGCTCGTGTCAAGTCACCCAGCTGTGGAGGTGGTGGTGGTGGTGGTGGGGGTCCCATCCAGCAACACGTCCCCAAGTCCAGCGCTGGGGGCCAGCCCTGTGCGCAGCTCCCC